GCGGCGGCCGCGGGGCGGGGCGGGGCGGGGGCTCCGCCGGGCTCTCTAGGACGCCGGCGCCCCGCACACCCACCATGGATCTGCTGCTGTTGGTGAACACGAGCCTGGGCTCCCCCAACGAGTCCCTGGCGCTGCCCCCCGCCTCGCCGTCCTCGTCGGCCCTCCTGCAGCCGCCCTCCCCCTACTCGCCGGCGGCCGTGGCCAGCCTGGCGGCCGTGGTGGGCTTCCTCATCGTCTTCACCATCGTGGGCAACGTGCTGGTGGTGATAGCTGTGCTCACCAGCCGGGCGCTGAGAGCCCCCCAGAACCTCTTCCTGGTGTCCCTGGCCAGCGCGGACATCCTGGTGGCTACCCTGGTCATGCCTTTCTCCTTAGCCAACGAGCTTATGAATTACTGGTACTTCGGCAAGGCTTGGTGTAACATTTACCTGGCGCTGGACGTGCTCTTCTGTACCTCGTCCATCGTCCACCTGTGCGCCATCAGCCTCGACAGGTATTGGTCGGTCACACAGGCGGTGGAGTACAACCTCAAACGGACACCCCGGCGGATCAAGGCCATCATCCTCACCGTGTGGCTCATTTCGGCCATCATCTCCTTCCCGCCATTGATCTCCGTGTACCGGGACCCCGAAGGAGATGTCTTTCCCCAGTGCAAGCTCAATGACGAGACATGGTACATCCTTTCTTCTTGCATTGGCTCTTTCTTTGCCCCCTGCCTCATCATGGTGTTGGTCTATATCCGCATCTACCGCGTGGCCAAGCTAAGGACCAGGACCCTCTCTGAGAAGCGTACGATGCCAGAGGGGTCCTCCCAGACTGAGAACGGCTTGAGCCGCGCTGCTGGCGSCTGCACGTCCCTGAGGATGCAGCTGGGAGAGAACGGACATTATTCAGTGCACCACTGGCGCAAAGCCTCCGAGCTGGAGGACATTGAGCTGGAGGAGAGCAGCACCTCAGAGAGCAGGCGGAGGCGGAGCCGGGAGGAGCATCGCCGCAAAAGCAAGAGCCAGTCCTTCTCCTACTCATATTCCTCCAAGCACTCCAGTAGCCGTCTGTCCCGTGCCAGCAATCGCTCCRTGCAGTTCTTCTCCTATCGCCGTCGCCGGAAGCGTAGCAGCATCTGCCGTAAGAAAGTTGCCCAGGCCCGGGAGAAGCGCTTCACTTTTGTGCTGGCCGTGGTCATGGGGGTGTTTGTAGTTTGCTGGTTCCCTTTTTTCTTCAGCTACAGCCTCTACGGTATTTGCCGGGAGGCATGCGAGGTCCCTGAGACTCTATTCAAGTTCTTCTTCTGGATTGGGTATTGCAATAGCTCCCTCAACCCAGTCATCTACACCATCTTCAACCAGGACTTCCGCAGGTCCTTTAAACACATTCTTTTTAAGAAGAAGAAGAAGAACTTCCGGCATTGAGCTGGAGGGATGGATTTGCCTCGAGAAGGAGTAGAGTTGAAAGAGAAGGAGAAAGCTCAATGCTGGAAAAGGAGGGAGGGAAGAGAACATGGGGCTTGGGCTTAGGGAGAAGGGAGAGGGCTCGCCCCATCRGTGGAGCAGGGTGATGCTGTGGGGATGGTGTCGGGGAGGCTGAGGGCATTCACCGTGGAACAGAATGGTTACAAGGTGCTGGGGGAGCATTGCTGGAGTGTGGAGGGGTCAGTGGGGAGGGAGTGATTGTTGTCTTTGAACCCTGATGGACGGCATGGGGAGCCCACAGGGGAAAACAGGCTGAGATGCTGAGTTTGGGAGGCAGTGAGCTTTYGTGGGCTCTGGAATTTTGTGGGAAAACAAAAAGAGACATCAAGAGGCAAGGGTTAAGTGGCAGGGGTGGTGGAGATTCAAGTATTTATAAATAGGGCAACTGGGGCCTGTGGTGGATTTGTCCCAGTAGGAAATTGGCTTTTACTGTTTGTGTGGGGAAGGAGAGTGCAAAGTACCAGGCACTGACAGTGTTTTGAGTTATGAAAGGATTTAAATGTTTGCCAAAAAAACCCTAAAGAACAATCCAAACTCTTTTCTAAATAAATCTTTGTACTGTTAAAACCTTCTGAATCATGATTTTGCACAAGGGGTGAAATCAAACAAATCATGAGGTTTTCTTTTCCTTTGGAGGTGTCTTTGCCTATAGAGTGGATGGGAAATATTTTTCCTATCTTCCCATAGTTTTTGATTAGTCAGTGGGACAAACCTGGGAGTCTTGCAATTTTTTATGAAATATGAAAGAGAGCACATATACCCCATGACCTCATTTCCTCCTGCTGGATCACCAGGCTGTAAATTCCTGCTCCATCCCTCTCAGATCAGTGACCTAAGGACCTTGCTGTCCTGGAGCAGATAGTGGAAAGAAAAAAAAAAAACTTCTGGTGAACTCGCCTAACATTTTTTGAGATCAAATAAAAAAATTAAATTTCCACTTCTATGTGCCCAGGGGAACTTTTCCTCCCCTCTTTTTCAATCCCCCTAMAAGGGCTAATCTCAGGGCTGGATGCGTGCTCCTCATTCTCAGACAGGCAGTTGAAGGCAGTCTGATATGCAGGTTTTCAGAGGAAGAGCAATCACCCCACTATTAAGGTCTTTAAATCCTTCATATTTCTATTTTAGTCTTAGAGCTACTAAATCCTTTATATTTATTTTTTAATGAGAAGCATACATTGCAGATTGTCCGTGGTGTATGGGAACAAATCTCAAAAGGAGGTGCAGCTGTTCCAAACCTTCAGTATTACTGTTGCTTGCTTTCCTTTCTCCTGTTTGCATTTCTAGTTTATGAATTCAGAGGATTTTGTTAGGAAGTGGTGTAGAAGAGGGGAGAACAGTTTGAAAAGTTATTAAAGCAAACCATATTTCTCAAGGGTTTATAAAATGTCATAAGCTGCAGGGAAGARAATGAGAGACARGGACTGGTGTCTGTTATATCCATCACTGAATGCATACCAAGTRTAAGAGTGAGCTGAGCATTTACATCCTTTCTTCAGCTGTGCTGCTGCAAGGTGTGTATTCTGTTTGTGGAGCAAATATTGCTCCTTTCTGTGGTTATCACTCCTTCYACAGGCAGCAGGATTTGGCATCTGCCTCAAATGAACCTTTCCACAGCAAGTAGTTCTTTGGGGAAAAAAAAATAAAAAAAAAGAATCTAAATTGAATCTATATCAGAGAATCATTAGATACCCCCTTCCTTTCTCCCTCTGTTCTGTCTGAGAGGTGTCTGCAGCCTCTCTTCTCTTGAAATCTCTGTAGCATAAGGAGGAATGATAGAGCAATTACTTTGTTTCATCAGTTTTTCATAATAAGCATTTGRTTCACTTAACCCTGCAAAAGGAGTTGTCAGTGGCTGAGGTTCTGGTGTTCCTTCAAAAGATATTTTAACTCAAATTCAAGTGGGAGTTCTGCTGAAGTGGGGATTAGATGACTGCACCTGATGCATTAGGAGTTTGCTTGATTTTGCTAAAGAAACAACTGAGCYCATAACTTACTGGATGCTTTCTTGAAATAAGGCTCAGAGCGTGAAAGGATTTGAGCTTTGTTTGTTTAAATAAGAAATGGTTTGGTACAAATGCATACCTGAGACAGATAAAGGAGAGGTAAAAATAGCAACTGAGAGGAGGAAATTACAAGCCATTTCTCTTTTGCAAAATGGAGAGTTCTTATTAAAGTCGTATCAACAGAAGCTGAAACAAGCTCGTATTATTTGTAAGTAACAATGTAGCTAAAAAGTTCAGGTTTGTTTACTCTGAAGAAACTATCTAATCACCCGAGCAACCAAAGCAACCATATGGTACCTGGCTACTACCTCTGAGCTCCTGCACGGCTTCATTAGAGGTGTCCGTTCCTGCCAAGGGAAGGTCTGCTTTTGTCACTCAGTGCTTGTTTAGACGGGGTTCCCAGTCTGCAGACTCACAGTGGTTTCACTGTTGTACTGGTTTTCAAGTGAGCTTTGTGGCCTGCAAGTACAGTCCTTCCCCTTTCTTTTTTCCCTCGTAGAATTCAAGCAGTCTATGGAAATGAAATTTAAATGACAGTCAGATTTTAGTGGACACAAAATATATATGGAATGARCTGATGTGCCTTAAGAGTAAGTTCTTCTCAGTAAAAATATTCTGTGGTCATTATAAACATTAAAGAAATGATGCTTCTATTTTTGTTTTGCATTTCCGAATGTTTAAGAGATTGATGCAGACACTGAATATCTATGTGCAGCGACATAGTTAAAACCAGGGCAATTTCTATGGTTTTAATTTTTCTCATCACAGTTACTCATCTGATTCAATGCCTCAAGAGGATCTTATTTCTTCTGAGCTAAATAAAAAGTAATATTCATCAATAAAGATGTGCAGTTTACACCCCTTCTAAGTGCATTTCCCTCTAAATTAGTGAATACAGAAGATTTCTATAAAAATTGTTTTTAATGTAACTACTGAATATGCTTCAAGTAAAATGGGGCTGACATACTTTTTTTAAAATACAGTGTTCTCTTATTACTTGTAATAGCTGAAGACTGGAATTTGTAACTTATTGTGTGGTGTTAACTTTTCATAAAAAGTTTTCAGCTCTGCTACACAAACTGTGGTTGTGCTTCAACTGTAAGCTGGATAATAGCATATAAAGGAGAAAAATAGTCTATGCAGCTTTTGTTTAAGAAAAAGGGAGAAGATATGTTTAAAATGTGCTGAATTGTTTCTTTGATCAGATATGATAAACTGATTGAAACACTCACTCTCTGCTGTTGCAGAAGAATGAAATATTGCTACTAAGCCATATMGATTTTAACAAGTACCTGATCTTTAACTCTTCATTTGCTCACTTCACCATGAAGAAAAATTTGTCAGTCTCTGAGTGAGAAGTTAATGTTTCATTTTCAAAACCAATTGTGTGAACGGTGCTGTTGTAGGTTGGGTATTGAAGTATTGAGCAGTGTAACTTATCTGGGATGGGAACTCACTGCTGTCCTTCAGCCACCACTGTGGGAGTTTTGCGTGAGTGAGAAATGCAGAATTAGCCTCTTTGGGGCTTGAGGCAGATGGAAGGGACCTTATAAATAGGAGATTTGACAGGATCACAGCTTTAATCATTGTTTGAAATAAGAATCAGGCCCTTGTTGTTCTGTGCGATCTCTGTTCGGAAGAGTCTTGTTGCTGCARGAGCACTGGTGATTTCTGACGAGCAGATCTGAGGTGAAAGTCTACATGCAGCTTTGCACACATTTGCTTGTGTCATTTATTGAGAGTAATCCCAGAAAACTTGAGTGGAATTTACTTGTGAATCAGGAAACTACTCACTGTGGGCAAGGACTTTAGGAGCTTCCTAAAACATTGCCTCTTTTTAGTAAATGTGCCCAAGGAGTTTAAGCAAACATTTGTGTGTAAATGTGGGAGAGCAGCAGGAAGGCGTTCTCTCTGCTAAGCTCTTGACTGCTGTTCGAACCCATAGAAGATGGGGATTAAGATTTTTTTGACTATGTTACCTGAGGAACAAACCCTACTGTRCATTTTCAGTATAAGCTTTATGTGATTGTGTCTGTTTTTCAAAGAAGAAAACTGTTGGTCTCTGAAGGYTGGTATTGGCAAGAACGGCATCTGAGAATTGTAAGGATTTTGTAGGAACAAAATGCATTCAGGAGAATGTTCTGACCTTGAACTATGACTGCTCTTGAAGTATGACTGCTCTCTCGACAATCTGTGCTAAAGGAAGACCAGATGCTATCTGTGAGTTTGTTTTTATGGTTGCTCATTATGACCTTGTTGGTGAGCAGAAAGGAACTAGATGCTTCAGAGGAAAAGCTCTAATTTGGAGGGGGAACGGTGCATGAGGAAATGGCTGCCCACAACACTGAGGGAATTAATATTTGCATGYCTTCTTTCTACTGTAGACAAATGGARGAAGTTGCCTTTTTCATTGCACAATAGCAAATGTTAATTTGTCTTCCCGATCTGTGGGTCACCTAGGCCTTACAAAAGATGACACAGGAGAAAGCAGAGAGAGGATTGCTCACTTCAATGTTCAACACCAAGCTTAAATTTGTCCTTTGTCCTTGAAGTTAAGCCAAAAATACAGTTTGGCACTTGGACCCAAAGGCTATGTAGCATCAATAATGCTACACTGAATATAGTCTAGTTTTAGCAAAAAGCATCAGTTCGTATTATACACCCTGCACATTTCTGTTTCAGGGCAGAAGTAGGAGAGTCTGACAATTCATRTGAGAAAGGAGTAATCAGCAGCTTGAAAAGTCACAGGTATATTGAAAAATATACCTAGATCCTATTCTGGTAACAGAGCTGGCTTCAATTTTATGGGTCCCAATCACTTTGAACTCCTAAGAAAGGATTTGGGTTGCAGAAAACAAGGAAACTGCTTGWTTTCAGAAATACTGCTTTTCAAGGAAGCAAAAAGTTGCTCAGTTGTGTTCAGATCCTTATGGCAGATGCACAATTCTCCAGTGGGCTGATAACTGTTACTGGGCTTTGTGGGAAAGGCTGAGGTGTCTTCAACTCACAGTGACTATCACAMTWGATCTGAAATWAGGGATATCTGCAGTTGGTGCATTRCCTTTGTTAGAAGTGGCAGCTCTTAGAGTGCGRCAGAAGACATTCTAAGTAGTTTATCTCTCCCCTGGTGCATGTTCCTCACTATCCCAAATTTTCTAATTCAACTGCACAACAGTTGATAGGACAGAGAAATATTGTCAAAAAAAAAAAAAAAAAAAAAAAAAAAAAAGACAGAGAGGTGTGGAAAAGAGTAGGTAATAAAACTTGGTGTCTTAGTCCTGACCTAAT